TGATTCTATGATTCTATTCTATGATTTTGAAGGAAATTGGAACAGTAGATCTGGAGTTCACTAAAAACATTTTAGCAGAAAATACAGTTTCAAATAAGAACAGAGCCCATGGCACTGTCCAGATCTGCACTATGATGCCAGTTTTGTTGGTAAGCAGGACTTCAGTGGCATTTTCACTGTGAAGGTCTTCATCACTTTAACATCAACCCTAACAAGGAATCCAACAGGAAGGAGGACATGCTGGCCTCTGAGACCTACTTATAGTCTCTCTGGGCTGAACAGGATATCCTAATCCTAATACAAACTTCTACCAGGCAACAAAGCATGCCAACTCTTCCCACTTCTAAAACAGTGTTGAGCCACATCTCCTTCCTAAAGCCAACTCTTATTCCACATGCTTTGGCTGAGAAAGATTGCGGTTGAATTCCCACTCTGAAGCCCCTCACTTCCTTCACCCTAACCCTCAAAACACCACAACCACCTTGCCCAACTCCAAGAAAGTGTGGACTACAACTCTGTCCTGAACTCAGCCCTCATCCTTCATCTTCCAGCTAAGCAAGACTACAGAGATATTAACCCTAACCATAACCTTAGTCCTACCCAATTGAAAAGTATACTGATCCTTTCCATCTCCAGAAGAGCGCTGGGCACTAGCTCTGAGCTTTGCATGACATTAATGCAATTTTCACTCTGAAGACTCGCGTTTCCCTGTTTGTTAGGCATATCCTAGCCGTTTTTTGACTAATTAAATGAATTGGGTTTTTTACCCATGAGGGACAGACACAACCACCCAAACTATTTGACAGAATCAAGACTTTTACTTTTTAACTAGAAACTGCATGTTTCCTATTTGAGTTGGAAATATAAGTCTGTAATTTGGGAATATGTGAAATTTTAAAGGAAAGGATAAGGTAGGAGTAGACAGTAAATGTGAACCTGTAATTAAATTTTAAAATAAAACAATTTTGTTAAGGGGCAAGACAGAAAGCATATGAAAAAACAAGTGTTAAAGGAGAAGGAACTCAGTGCTCTGCTGTGTGTAAAGTAATGGAACAATAGTTTTGTTTGAGAGTTTCCCCACTTTGTCTTCAAAGAAAGGTCTTCCTTAAACTCTCTAGGTCTCTTTCCAGCCTTCTCCGAACCTGCATCCTCAGTTTCCGATTCTAATACACGAAAAGGAGACATATAAACAACACAATTCAAATTTCCCGAAATCTTCATATGGGCCCCTGTAATAATAATGAGACTGGCTCAGCTGGTCCAGTTCAAGCTTTCATCTCATTTATTCATTGCAGCGTGGCCTCTGGCTGTATTGAAGGGATTGCTCTTGCCTCAAGGCAGTTTGCACAGTACAGAGAACAATGCTGCCTTATGGGAGTGTCCTTTAGGGCTCTGAGTTTAAAAGGAGCCCTTCACTCCGAGTCCAGTGCTGTGACCCGGATATGTGCCCTGCACTTGGGCCAGAGGAAGAGGTCAGAAGAGTCTGGCTTGCTTTGCATGTGTACGTGGTGTCCAGGGTGTATGAATTCATAGACTGTCCTTGGAAAATGATGGTGCTGCACAGGACAGGGTCTGACAGGGACAGATTTTCTCATACTGTGCCTAGAATGGGAAGGTGAGTTTCTAAATCCAGTCAGTCTCCACTGGCTCCATCTAGAGCATCATCACACAAACAGCTGGAATTATATGTACTGCAGAGGCCTGACCCGAAAGATCAGGACTGAGGGCTTCAAACTGATTTTGTACAGGTCATCTGCCGCTCCTCATCAATAATCCTCAGTTATTATCACAAACAAGTGAAAGGTTTCATTACCCTAACACAAATCAAGCTTTAAACATACATATATTCAGAAACAATGCTTTTCTGCGATAGATCGGTTAAGTGCTTAAAAGGAAGAATCAGTACCATTTTGCAGATGGACAAACTATGGCTAACAGAGTGGAAGTAACTTGCCTGAAGCAACACAGAAGGTCAAAAGAAGAACAGAAAAGGGAGTAAAATGCAGGAATTCCAGGTCCTCACTCAGTTCATTAACAAGTTGAACCTTTTTATGCAGTTCAAATCCTGTTGCAGGTATCTGCTGCATTTAAAAGCAGAGAGGAAAGCTGACCAGAAATAAGCCAGGATGGTTTCACCATGAAAGCCAAAGAAATCTCTAGGCACTAAGTGACTTGTTACAAGTGTACCACAAATGCACAACTGTTTTTGACAGAAATTTGAGGAAATTTGTTATAACATGCATAAGGAATGCATAAGGAATGGACTTTTTTAAAGTAAACGTGTGAAGACCAATTTTCCTTTTGTGTAATTTCACTGATTACACAACCTCTTAACAAAACAGAAAAACTGCTGCTGCTTCTTCTTCTTTTTTTTTTTTTTTTTTTTTTTTTTTTTATTTGACAGCTTTGTTGCATGCCTGAAGGAGATAAGGTTTCTGGATTATATTCAGGTTTTACCTTGTAAAGTAGCTTGTAGCCTGGAGGTCTGAGTCCTGAGGACGGAGGTTATCATACATATACTTCACATCCTGAATGCTGTTGAGCTCAGGCAATCCTGCATGCAGCATCTTAAAGTAAAGAAATATCATTAGTCCATTAACTATTAAAAAGAAATTTAAATGAAATGGGGCTAAGTGGGAAAAGAAAGGTTTTACACCGAAAGGACTCTTGTAAAACACAAAGTTCTGCTGATCTGAAAAGCAGTTCTGATGCTAGAGCAATGCCCGGAACACTAAAGTGAATATACTGCATTGTAAACCTTCATACTGAGGTGCTAGAAAGAGGCATGGGTCAAAATCATTGATCCATTTTAGTTATTTATTTTCTCTTCAGATATCATAATCTCAATGTATGCATTGCTAAGTTCCTTCATAGCCTTTGAATGGTGATAAAGGAAAAGCGACCAAATTCAGCCACCTGAAAAACAGTTAACCACGTTTCTGTTATGCTCACAGTGTTATCCTACTCCTAATCCAGCTTAGTGCAACATCACCTTCTTATTTGTAACTACTGATTCCACCATCACTGCTCTGGACTCCGCCTGCAAAGGGATCATAGATTCACTCCCTTTACAGTCAACGGAGAAGGAAGGTTCTGTTAGACGTCGATTCATAGCAGGAGCCCTGACTTGGGTGCGGAGAACTGCCCTCTGTAGAAGTCTATCATTCTTCATGGATGTGGGACAGATCTGTTCTAGTTAGTTGGCCAAGTTAGGTTCAAAAGACAAATAATGCAAATATTCCCCTTGCAAAGAAACACAACAAGTAGGGTAGACAACTGGGTGTGTCCAATTGCCCATACAGCTCTCTCCAGGCATTTTAAAACGACAACAACAAAAATAATTTTGACTCACTTCAAAACCTACTGATTTTTCTCAACAATCAGAGTAAGCTGAGAGCAGTGCTTTGTGTGTAATGGAGAAAAAAAAAAAATCACTCTTTCACATTGCTCAGAAGGAAATGTATCTGAATTTGCAGTCACTGCTGTGCATTCTTCATTAATATTTATGTCTAGCTCAGACAAAAAGACACACTGAGTTTTGTGGATAACAGCAAAGACGAAAGGAAGCACTGCTTTTATTTTAAGGTTTGGTTGAGAGATGAATAGATGCAATGTGTCTTGACCTACCACACCTGGTTATCCCAGGCCTTCTGACTCACTGAGTGGAGCTGCCTACGATCTCCTTGGGCCTGGAATTGGAGCTGGTGCGTGACGCTCAGCCCGCCATCCCATGAAAAATGGATAGTCCTGGCATGTACTTTCCATGCGTTAGACCTCCAAAACGGGGGTGTTTCCTGATTCTCTTTTCCCAAGTGGTGTTTCTGAGTTGTAGACGTGTGAAATGACTTGTATGGGGACATGGGATTCTTTAGTCTTAGATCTGCTCTGTCTGGGTACTGTCTCCTGCTTTATACTGTCAGGGTGACCAGTTTCTCGTCACAACAGAGGCAAATGGATCAATTACTTGCTATCTAGTGTCACCTCTAAGCCCCTTTTAATAATTTTCTACGTGAAAGATCTTTATAACAGCAATGGATTTTGCATTTTTTTAAACTAATCGAAAGGTGTTTGTGTCCTGCGATCACCCTTTTTCTAATAGTTCATATCAATTCTTTAATGAGAGCAAAGCTGATGAACTACAGGCATTTACGCAGCTGAACTCTGCCAGCAGACTCTTGGGTCTCCCAGAGATGTTTCTGCTTTTGAAAGTGATGGAAACTTCATGGATTATTTTTCACTCCCAGTAGCAAATGTCAGTACAGCTCTAGAAACATGCTGCTCACCACCAAGAAAAAGCATCAAGTCCCAAACTGGACCAAAAAAACCAAATTGTTGTTCATAATCACCGTTTTCTAGAAACCACTAACAGTTACTGACCATCCAGAGCACAGTTTACTATTCCTGTGAAGTACTGTACTTTTTTAAAATAGCCTTATTGTTTAGATTTTTTAGCCATGTTTTATAAATAGCATCTCAGAAAACAGAATGTGGGAGGGGAAGGAAAGATTAATGATGCAGATTTCCAGATAGTGAGAGAAGTCTTAGACTGTCACAGATACAAATAGGCAGTGGTCTTGCCCCTTCATGATAACATCTGATATTTTGCATGGAAATGAATTCAAAGTAGAACTTCTTCACAGTCTATTTACTTTTCTAGAAATGACCCATGAAACTAAAACATTTTGATACTTACAGTTTCCAAGCAACACCCCATTGCAAGTGCACCCTTCCAAACATCACTGGAAAAAACAAGGCGTTTGCAAACTTGTCTTGTTTGTTTAATTTCCTTTTGATATGAAGTGCTTATCGATGGAGTGTGAGTATGCTGCCAGTTATTTTTCAGTTATGAAATGCAATACAATTGACTGAACTGCAGCCCATTGACAAATGTTTAAACAGATCTGACATGCTGACTTTTAGCTCAGCACTATTACCTCTCCTTAAAGATCAGCAGAAACAAAAGAAGATGCAGTATGTCCTGAATATAGACAAACCTGAGCTATATCCAGGCAGAGATAGCTAGTTATTTCAGAGCTCCTGCTGGGAACATTTTCCTAGCACCCTCTCTTTGTTATCCCAGAGTAATCTAACATCATCATCTCTGCTGATTGCAGAAAAAGGGACTTCATGGGGGAGAAGGAGGTGGGCAGAAGATGTAGTTATATTTGCAGCATGCGGTTTTAGGCAACCTGTTCAGAAATGCAGAGATTACTGCTGTGGATGAGGGAGCATGGGTGCTCCTGAGTTTTCCAGAGGCTCTTTAACTTAGACAGTATCTCCTACAACTTCACTCTGCACTGCTTTCACTGCAAAAATATGCTTTATGACAGGAATGAAGTCTTGCTGCACCTTTGTGACTACTTAGAAGCAGGGTTAAGAGATCTGGGGCAATCCTTCCTGCTCCATATTGGGAAATCACTCACTGTACCACTGCATGAAAATACATGGACAAGACAGAAACAAAATGAGCAAATTCTTGCCATTTCTCCCCTCCCCACTGCAGAAGTTGGAGAGGATAGAGCAGTGTTTACAGAGCAACTTCTTGACTGTACCCCAATCTCAGCAAGGGCTCTGTTCATAAGGTTGTGTAGATTTTTTCATGCACAGACCAGACACCTAGGTTTTGCATAGGGCCCTGGACAGACGTTTTAAATTAATATCTTAGCCAAGCAACTTAGCAAATATTAGTTGATTTAACATTCCCATTCTACCCGTGAAGGGGGAAAATCATTAACCTTTCACACACAAGTAAATAGAGGCATAAAGCAGTTATGGAATCTGCCACAGCACATGAATCAATAGGAATACTTAAGGGATAAAAACTCTGAGAGGTCTTAAAAACCTATACAAAAGGATTTTTAAACCTGTGTTAGTATGGGTAGTGCTCTGTGTATGCCATCCTAAAGAAAGAGCGTGGAAATGTGCAAAAAACCATTCTAATGGCATCACTGTTATCTGCAGTACTGCTAGGTACTGTCACCCACTCTGTGAAATATTTAGTTTATTTTGTCTTGCTGTAAACATGAATGGGATTGGTAAATGATTATTAGAAGACCTAGAAAAAGGGCTGAGTGAAATTCCTGAATGTGAAACTTGTACCTGTCTTCTTTTGCAGTTTTCTGCTATTTTGTAAAAAAGAATGTACTAAAAAAAAGGAAAAAATCAAGCAGCTTAGCTTTTCTTTTCTCAGAAATTAGTACTGAAACTGGATAGGGTTTTTTTGCACAGGAAGTGCCAGCACTAATATTCCCTGCAGTGCAGCTGATACCCCTTCAAATCACAGTGCCACTGGAGGCAGCAGAGAAGTGGTAAAAGGGAAGAGGACACCAGAGGAAATTGATTTTTGGTTTCATCCCCAAGTTTCTTACCATCTCTAGCAGTTTCAAGAGTAACTGGCTGTGTTTCCTGACGATATTATAAGCTCGACAACAAAGTTCTACAAACTCTTGAAAACGCTGTGGGTTTTTTCCACCTTCTGTGATGAAATATTCCATCTCTGATGTGAAGATGAAGGGGGCTCGGTCCCTTGAAAAGAGAACAACTACATGAGAAATTTCACTGAAAATAGCAAATCATGCAAGACAGTTTATATTTGTAACTCATTATTCACATTTGTTTTTCCAGTATTACCTTCCTCATTATTTCATCTCTCCCTTCCTCAATGTGGACAGCTCTAGTGCTTTGCCTGGTGTCACTGACTAATTGGGGCAGAGACAGGTCTCACAGCAAGAGCTTCCTAGTGAGAAAGCCAACAACTGAACAAGTTTGGAGCTTACATGTTTTCTTCTGGCTCTTCTTTGCTTTTGTTTTTAAACTCTCATTGCTTTAATTTCTTGGTTCAGCCTAAAAGTGAATCTGGAAACAAGTTCTCTCCTGGTATTTATATATCTAAAAGTTGTTCTCAAAGAGGATGGGATACAAATATCAACTCCCCGCTAGGCAAGAAGTGAATTTAAGAAAAAACCTACAACTCTACAATCCAACAACAACAAAAAAATACAACATATGATGCTATCATTAAATATACAACATTCTAAAGGGATGTTTCTGACCCAAGTTACAGCAGAATAAACCTAAATACATTGTCTTGTTTTCCACACAGTTACTCTGTATTCACCCTACAGTAAATGAGGTGCAGAATCTGATACCATGTCTTGCCTTTTTTTCTTATCACTAGCGTAGTTTGTGGCTATGGTGTGCTATTGCAGAAGAAAACAGATTAGCCAGGGTTCTGCTAACAATCCTATCATTTCGTAGTTTCAGAAAGGCCTGATCTACTGCATCCTTGCACAGACAAAACTACTGCAGTGATTTACTTACCACGATTGTGTATACAGAGGCATGTAAACAGATCAGAGGGCTATATTCCAGGGAAATATATACAGCATGTTAACCCTTAATTCAAAATGAACTTGAGTAAACTAAATATTCATGGGAAGCCTGAATGCAGAAACAAATTTAAGGATATGTGTTTCTTGCTAAAACCTCAAACATGGGCTGAGTGAACCCACTCTGCTTGCTGATTCATTCACAAATGAGACAGAGTTTTCCTAGGAGTTTTCCTCATTTTCCTATAAAAATGCCTGCCTTCTATTATCATAGAAAGAAAGTCAAGTTGCTGTGAGATTCTAGGCTGCTGGAAGTCATAGTCACAAGAAACGTTCAGGTGGCCTTCCTTTTCTTATGTCTGGAAATTCTTCCTGTTTTACATTGAAGATAACTGAAAGCAGACCTCCTATGGGTATTGTTCACCTCAAAACAGCCCTGACCATTAAGTTTTTTAAAATATATTATTCAGTTTCAGCTAGGTAGTACTAGGAATGATGAAGGTCCACAGTAGTCATTCTTATGATGTGAGCTCAAGATGTGAGTTCACAGTGTGACAGTTACGTTGCAGTATGACTGTTACATAGTTATTGTGTAGTTTTGTGCTGTAGCTCTCAGAAAATTACAAACCTGTGTCTATTACTGATTTCAGAGAGCAAGATTTCCCCAGAACTTTCATTCATTCATTCATCTTTCAGCTTATCTTTTGTCTATTTAAAATAGACATTAAGAATTAAATAAATTGATGCAATTAGGTTCACAGAAGTCAATTTGTTGAAGCCAATAAAAAAGAGAGATAGAGAGAAAATTAGCAACTTTAACATTTTCACTTATCTGTGGACAGAAATCCAATCTAAATCCTGATTAAAAGCATTTTAGCACCTTGAGAATGTTTAAAAAACAAATCTATTTATTTTCTGCATTTACGTTTTTGGGCTAAAATATTCCAAGTCAAAACTACTGCTATAAAGGTCCCATACAATGTATTATGTTCAAAATTCATATTTGATTTCTGATGTCCAACTGCATCAAGAGACACAATTACACTATGAAAACATAGCCCTTTCTGAGCTAGTCCAAGTCTCCCACATGAAGCTACTTGAGCTGAAAACAGATACTGCAATCAGAAATTACTTTACTGGAAGAAATACGGTGGTTTAACACTGTTGGGTTGGGCTGTGGGCCAACTTCCACAAAATGCAATGACTGCAACACTAGTCAAATGTCTTACTGTTGTTGCTAAAGGATCCATTTGAACATATAACTGATATTTTAGTAATTATATTATTTATAGATTTATTTTACTTGTAAGATGATTTTAAGCAGTTTTACAAGGTTCTTAAATTTCTCAGTATCATTTAAGACTGTCTTCTAAGGTGGTAGGCCTGTCCTCCCTTGTTAACCTGCAAAATATGATGTAGAAATTTGCTTTTCCTGGTTTTGCTCAAGGTCTTGTGATATCAGAGCCCCTGCAATCAGTCAGATGCTGAAGCTCCATTCCTGCATGTGTCTGAGTAAGCCGGCTGTTCATAAAGGGAACACTTTGCAATTGAAATTAAAAAAACATATAAACCCAACTTAGTATAGGAGAAAAGACCCACTAGAAGGAACACAACAGTCAATTCTCACGATAATATTAAAAAGCAAATTTTCCGTGGGAGGAGATGCTTACTCACTGAAGAGTACATTAAGAATTCTGAAAAACCAATTGACAGGACTGAATGTCTGCATATAGATGCAAAATGTTCCTTGCTGCTTTCACAAACTCCTTTGGAATATAAAAACATAGAAGGGGATAGTCTAAAACTTACTCCAGCAAAACTACAAACAGCCAAGTCAAGTCACCATGCATCATGCATGGGAAAATCTACATCAGCAAACAATAGAGGCTGTTTTAGCCTACATAAGAAAAAAAGCAATGCACACCCTGGTGTTGCATGAGCATTCTAATTTATCACACACACACACGTGCAAACGAACCTCACCCCTGTGCACAGCCTGTATTTCTATATTTAAACCAGTGTATCTCTAACTGACAGCCTTTTGTGGCACATAGCTAAGATCATCTTACATGACAGCATTCATGCAGAAGATATGTAATGCATCCAAAGGTCTGGTAATACTAACTATGAAAGACATCACTCATTTGGACATAAATCTATTACATAGCTTGCTCACATGAAGTTGTCTAAAAGATATAAACATGAAATACTTCTTACCCCAAAACATACCTCAAGATCACAGCTAAGCCCTATAATACTTTACATCCATAGGATGTTCAAAGACTAATGACTGTGTTACAGCCTATGGGACAAGAGCCCCTTGGCCTAAAATCTCTATTACAACTTGCTGCTTCCATCAAATTAATGAAATGACTGTCATCAGTTTAACAAAACTGGTGTGATGAAGTATTTTCAAGTAAAAGCCTTTTACCATATCTCTGTAGAAGACCAAAAGCCTTTTTTTGCTTTATGGTGTGCTAAAGAAATACAGAATTGAAGCATTCTTGAATGACCTCTACTGTATAATGGTAATCTCGGGTACCATCATTTCTAGAAAAAAGAGCCTCATTGAGAGAACTGGTGTGGCTTTAGATAGACCACAGATGTACAGCTAATAAGTCTCCCAAAATCATTAAAGCTACCTTATCATAGCTCGCTCACTCTTTTTTTTTCTTTCTTTTTTTTTCCCACTAAAGCCCTTTGATTTTATAATAGAAATCAGTCAAAAAGGCAATACCCCCATTTATGACAGAGTCTGACTGCAGTCCTGGACCTTAAAGACTTATACTTTACTATGGCTGTGACAAAAGAGCGTACTCAAGTCATGCAGTGAGAAACAAGGCTAGTTTTACAGTGGTTTTATTCTTTTTTTCTTGTGTACTGCTTTTAGAGATTTAAGATTTTCATGGGAATGTGTTTTGCAGTTCCTCTGGAGATTAAGAATGTTTGTATGATATGTCATGAGAGGGAGGAAAGAAGGAAAACCTCAAGCAACTGAAGAGATCATCATGCAAGAACAGACTTTGTCTGGGGTGATGGGAACATTTATTAGGACTTCACTGTAGTGAAGTGCAGAAATATGCTGCCTTTCAACAAGACCAGTAAGATCATCAGGATTTGTTATGAAACACTGGATGTAAACTGATTAACAAAGCTTGTAAGGTCAACAATGGTTTTAGTTTTTCCTACTATGAATCTCACGGTACAGAACATTTAAGAATGATACACTGACTTCCTTTTATATTAAGTAGAAAAAGCATATGAGATAATCAAAAACAAATGACCTTTACTCTGATCCAATCTAAACTTCCTAATAGCGTAGTTATGGAAAAGTTTGTGTCATGCACAGTAATAAAATACCAAAACAGTTGTAGTCCAAGTTGTCATATGGACATAAGAGACAGTGTGTGAGAAACCATACAGAACCGTTTGCAATTTAAAAATGAGCTGCTCAGCAGTGTACGCCCCCATGTATTCCCTGACTGCTTTAAAACCATTTCAGTTGAGTCAAGAGTGACTGATAGTATTCAGCATGACTACGTGGAATATAGATGTATCCAATAAAATAAGAAAAGCTTTTAGGGAGTGTTTGAATGCTGACATCCTTTGCTCTGCAGCAAAAGCCAAAAGCTTATTGAAGAACACACTCACACAAAATAAATGAATATGAGTGCTTATTTCTCTAAGCCAAGTGAAAATATCTAATCATAGTAATTATATATATTTGTAGACAAAGAAAAAACCACAAGCAAGTATATTCCTTTCTTATATTAAAGAATGAAATAGTGAACAACTGCACAATACAATTCGTCTCAAGCAAGCACACGAAGAGTCATAAAAAAATATGCCTGGAAAGGGGACCACAAGAGATACTCCATCTTTCTGCTTACCAGGACAAGATCAACCATAAACATGCTTCTGAGATGCTTATTTAGCCTATTCTCAAATGGTTTTAGTGACAGAGTTCTTTTTCAACCTATCAAATTTCTGTTCCAGTATCTCCCCTCACAGAGCTTTTTTTCTTGATGCCTAATCTAACCTTGCTGTGCTTTCATCCTATTAATTCTTGTTCTTTCCTAAGGGAACATGAAGATCCCTTCTTCTTTACAGCAGCCTCAAATGTATTTGCAGACTGTTGTTATGTCTTTCCTCAATCTCCTGTAGACAATTGTTTCAACCTTTTCTTATAAGTCTTGT